ACAAAATTAGTTGTTGTCAGAATTTCATTATCATAACACTAGATAAATACAGATGAAATAGCATAGAAAAATAGAGCTTCATTTTCTCTATCATCCTATAGAAAAAGAAAATTTACTCAAGCCTTTTATAAGAAAATAAGATACCTCCGCTACTACTTTTGGGTACCCCTAAGTAGTTGGTTCGATGAGGATTAAATATTAAAATCAATGCATTCAATTATACATGTAAGACTGCAAACTTATTTTATTTCATACGGTCCTCCCTTCAGTTGAGGAAATAAGGTTCTTGTTATCTTTATTATTTTTTTGTCAGTGAGTCAGATTCGAGTCGTTCTCGTTTCTGTCATCGATAATGCACGTTATACTGCTTAACAAAGAAAAAATTGTATGTCTTGATTGATGTAAAATTCGAAAAGAAGAACGTTTGCCAATATTTTTATTCAATATTACCAAAACGAAGACATGTAAAAGCATATAAATCATTGATAAAATCATGTTTTACATCAATAACAGTTGAATCAAAGCGCAAGTTATCAAGAAGAATGTAATATTCACGAATAGGTTCACATTCCCGATCAAATCTTCCATCATAAATTTGCTCAAGTTCAAAACAAATCTGTTCAATATCTTTTCGACATATGGTTAATGAAACATTAATGTGATGTTGTGTAGTAAAATTTTTTGTTAATTGTTCTTGAGCATCTAGCTTACTTATTCTAGCTAGAATATAAAGATCAGATGTTGGATCACTTACATATCTAATTTCTTCTGCTTCCCATTGTCCAATAACACTCATCAAGTGTTCTTGTTGCTCACGAAAACTCACTAATCGACGAAGATTAGCTTTGGCTTGAACAAACAAACGTTGCAAAGCTAAAATAATATGTGTCTATCGTTCTCGTCATAATATTTATTCTACAAAATTTTTCTCACTTGATACACGTTGAGCCGATTCAATTTCTCGCCCCATACTTGCTATTACATCTTCATGTTCATATTGTTCGGTATACAATTTAATCTGCATCATATCGAGATCAGCTTGGAGTTTAAGGACATTATCAGCCATCAAACTGATATCGTTATTTTTAATATGTATTCGAGGATGAACATTTAAAATTGTATCAATTAAATATGTCCGAGTCCTTTCCTCCTGTATGCTACCTAATTTGAGACGATCAATGAAACAAATGTGACCTGGTTTCATACCGAGTAAATCAATAAGCGTAGCTTGAGTATTTTCATTGTATGTGTTGGGTCGATCAGAAGGTAGGGCATTAACTATTGTTATTAATGAATCCGGATTAAATGTATAAGCGTTATGAATGGCTTGAAACGTAACAACATCTTCATTTCGAATTCTCCCATTTTGATGTCCAAAGACATAAATAACAACAAGTGAATGTTCTTTTTGTTCCTCAAATGCTCGGCTAATTTCATGTCTGTTTAGAGAGATGCGCTCTTCATCCCCCTCAATTAAACCAGGAATATTATAAATTCTATAATGTTTGTCACCCAATATGCATGTTATTGATTCAGTTCGATGTGTTACGGATCGAGCAGAGAAATCATGCTTGAAGTATTGTTTACCAAGAATAATATTAGCTAAGAAGCTCTTACCTACACCACTATTGCCGACAATAATTAATCCATATGTATCTGCCATTTCCTTTGATATCATCATGTAGAATAGTCTAAATCTCAACAAATAAACACAAATATTCTTTTTCAATTTCAATATTGATCATTGTTTCTATCCAATAAAATAGAAACTGAAGTAAAGAAACTTTAAGATTGTATTCTATAATAACTAACTATTGTGTCTAACTCAATCGTAGAATAATGTTTTGAAAAGTCTCTCTAGATTTCATTTAAATAAAACTCTAAAATATATTCATATCACTTGATCTTTTATCCTGTTAGAAATATTTTCAAGTACTAATGAATTTCAGTTTGTAAACTTCAAAGCGAATTTAGTGAATTTCGAAAGGATTCTATTTACTATTTGCTAATAAGTTCTATAGACCCATACGAACTATATATCTTTGCCTTTCTACTGATTAATGAGGTCTATTTTTTCCTCTCCTTCTATATCTCACTTGGATCTTTTTATTATACTATTTGGAAATTAAGTAAAGACGTGTTGAAAAAAAAACACTGTTTGTTGACAAATCGTGAAATGATTCGTTTTCTGTGTTTCGTAAATGACGTTGCATGGCTATAAACAATATCAAACCTTGGTTTTTCAAAAAAAAAGATTCAGACGCTCTTTGACAGATAGTGAATGTTCTTGCAAAATGACGATGTAATTTAGAAAACAATGCTTGAATCAGTATGATAACATACACGATATAAAAAACACAAAGAAATGCAAGGGGAAAAGTATTAAACTCGTGTGTAAGCACTGAGTTTTTTCTCTTTACAAGTACGTGCATCGTAAGAAAATGACCATAATGTCATTAAATATATAATTTTATTATTCTTATCTTCTCGAATTCTCTAACTTGTTTTTTTCCTCGTGATGTCATTTATTCCAAGGAGAGTCTATATAAGGAGATGAAAACAATAAAAACAAGCCAAGTTTATATTCAGTAAATAACTGAAACGTGTGACATACTCTGCCATTGAAGCTTAGATATGACCAGACAAAATAACAATCAGTTTGGCTTGATTATTCTTGGGAATAGTGGTGTTGGAAAAAGTTTCTTAGCCAATATTTTACTCGGCAGAGAAGCATTCAAACATGAATTCTCTGCTCAATCTGTTACACGTCAAACAGAATTTCAAGAGATTACCCTTGATGATCAGGATTACGCCATCTTTAATATTCCGGGTTTAATTGAAGCTGATCAAGTAATATCGAATGATGAGATATCATAGATCCTATGTATGTATTCCATTTATTATTTTTTTCAGACTCGTGTTAATATTAACAAACGTGAGATAGATAAAGCATTTGAGCAACGACCAAACTCGCTTATTATATATGTCTTTGGACAGGAACACGGTCGCATGCGTAACGAAGATGCCGTTGCATTTAATGCCATTAACAAAGCATATCCATTCAAAATCGAGTCACTCTTAGTGGTAGTCAATGGAATTCCAGTAAGTCAACCAAAGAATTATGAAGGTGAAGCAGTACTCATGTTACAAGATATTCTTGGAATATCACTTTCGGCGCAAAGAGTATGCTTCCTAAATCACATCGATTCAACAAACAACGAGGAACGACTAGCTCTAAGAAGTCAATTGTTAAGTTCTGTCATCGAATTATCACCAAACAAACACATAAAGGAACATGACATTTATTTACAAGTTGATGAGGTTGCCATGCTCAACGAACGGATCAAAGAAATGACCCGAAGATTTCAAGAAAATAAGATTTTTTTCGAAAACGAAATTCAGAAACAGCAAAATTTTTATGACGATCTGGTTATCAAACAAAAGGCCGAGGCCGATCACTTTCAGCGCATTATTGACCAACAAATTGAGGAGACCAAGAGAATGAAAGAGATGCAAGGGACAAAAGTCCGACAGATGCATGGGCAATTAAAACAAATGCAAGCGGACCATCAACGACTCACTCAGGAAATGACGAACCAAAGCAATGTCGAAGCTGCATTGGTCCGACAAGTCTTACAGCAGTCGCAGCAAGCACAAGAGGAGCTAAAAAACGACATAATATCTCTTCAAAATCGCCTAACTCAAGCCAGTTACAAGACGGAAAGCATGGGAGGAAAGCGTGGTCGATGTGTTATATTATGACATCTGTATCTCGAGGTAGCCGTTCATCTTTCCCTTATTTCTGTCGTGCCACTTCTCTTTTCTTTTTTCTCTTAGATGATATATATACGCCATGTTATACATCACTAGTCAGGGTGTGGGGTGTGGGTGTGGCTGTAGGTGTGGCTGTGGGTGTGGGGTGTGGGTGTATGTGGTGGGTGTGGGTGTGGATGGGTGTGGGTGTGGGTGTGGATGGGCGTGGGTGTGGGTGTGGATGGGCGTGGGTGTGGGTGTGGATGGGCGTGGGTGTGGGTGGGTGTAGGTGAGTGTGGGTTGACTTACTGGAATTCCATTGACTACCACTAAGAGTGACTTGATT